TTAGAACACGTCATTTTTCATTTGGAAATGGGTAGGCCTTTTCTTTCGCTCAAGTCAGGCTTGCAACTATTAATCTGTTGGTGTTTTAGCATTTTTGCCTCAAAAAACATGTTTCCAATTATGTCCTGCCGCTTTTGCCAGATCTGCTCTTTTGCAAGTTTTCATGACTCCCCCATCTTGCCTCCAGCCACAGATGCAAGTTCCAAAAGCAAATTGGTCAAAAAGAAAATGTTTCCAACAAGTCACTCACTCAGTTACAACCTTCATGGACACTGGTGATTTTCACAAGTTGGGCTGAATTCTGTGAGTTTTGACCACCATGTCTTGCTAAGGGTGTGTTTCAGTCAATGACGACAGTAGTGGCTGTAACAGCTCTCCTGTGTCAAGGGTTGTTCTGAGCCATTTATTCCTTGTAACAGTCCTCCAGGGTCATCACTACTTGACCAATGGGGAAAGTGAGGTTCAGAGGGGCTCAGAGGAGTGCAGGGATCTCTCAAGGTAACAGCGGTCATCTGTGCAGAAGCTGGGGTTTGAACCCTGCTGTTCTAAGGTTTTCACTATTCTACACTTATAGCAGCTTTAAGAGTACCTTGCATTCAGGGAATAACCTTCCCAAAAGATTTGCTTCGTTGGTGCCAGCTGGTTCTAAGAGGGACATGAGGCTCTTAGGCCTGTCACCTAGCCTGTGACACAGGAGGTGAGTTCTATGTGTAGACGTTCCTACAGCCACAGGCTTGCTTCTGCCTCACCCTTGTGAATACACACGTGATTAGGCCACGATGGTCCTCCCTCCCCCCAGCTCATCCCACTGGAGGTCAAGAGGGCGTCACTGGCAGCAGATGGCCCAACGGGCAACTGGAAACATTTCTTTTTGACCAATTTGTTTGTGATGCAAACCCATGTTTCCCCGCGGGGGATGTCTACTCTGGTGGAAACAGCAAGGCTGCTTCCAGCTCCTGGCCTTCTTCCCCTTTCAGCGGTTTTTGACACAGTCAATCACTCCCTCCTCAAAACACTCAGCTTCCAGAACACACTTGCCTGGTTTCCTCCTGTCTTCCGGCTCCCTGCCCAACCCTTATATGCGGGTCTTTCTCAGGGTTCTGTCCTTGTTCTCGAGTCTTCTTCTTCCAGAGGTCACAAAATGGCGGCCTGGCGGCCTCATTAGACCCACAAACAGATTTTGTTTGGTCCTCACAGTGTTTTTGTTTTCAATTTGAATGCCATTAGGCGGGGCAAGCACTCTCCAAGTTCGCCACAGTCCCCATCATTCCCTATTGTCTTACACCCGTCCGCTTCACACATTTTCATCACCTGCCTGGTCCCTGAAGCCATCTGAGTTTTCTAAACCCATTACCCAGGCTGCCTGGGAAATCTCACCCACTCGAGCTAACGCCAGTGTCTCCTGCTCCTCCACCATACCTATGCATGAGAATCCCGTAGAAAGCTCACTCCAAACGCAGATTCCCAGTCCCCCTCCCTCCCCCAGATTTGATTCAGCAGTTCTGGGGCAGGGATCAGATATTCAAATACCTCCAGGGGCCAGGCGGGTCACATAAATGAGTGAACTAGCCAGGTATAAGAAAAGTCGACGGCCAGAAATATAATCAAATTGGATCTTTACTCAACTATGGTGAATGCATGGAACATAATACAAACATGTATGATACTGGACTTTATATTTTAAATTCAAAATTGAAAAAATACAAATTGAAAAATAGAAATATTTTAATTATTAAAATTTTCTCTTTCATAATTCTTTTGCGCCTTTGCATCGAAGCCAAAAAGGCCGACGCCCTCCCATCCACACCAAGATGTGTCAGGCCATGGGTGGCACGGGGGGGATGGGCAGTTTACAATTCAACATGGAATCCTTCAACTGGGAGCAGTATCTCATTTGATTCAGGTTCGTAACGGAAAACAACTGTTCACAAGCGTGGGTACTTCCCAGCACGGATATTCAGGACAACTACTAGAGGTTGTAGAATCTCACCATCTTCAGACAGAATTGTACCTGGGAACCAGCACCCCCAGCACTGCAGCTCAAGAACTGCTCCCAGAGGTTGCATCCACACATCCACACAGTCCACATTCACCAACAAAGGCAAACCAGACAGTGTTCGTTCATTTTCATGCAGTCTGGATGCAGAGTTTCTCGGGGGATTTGGTCTTCAGCCCCATAATCTGGGTGAATACAGTCCGGGCCATCTCTTTCGTTTCTGGAAACCAACTGCAGCAAAGGGAAAGGAGTAAGATTTACTCCTTACCAGTGGCTTCTCCATTTTTGCCAGAACCGAGCAAATGCAATTATACATTCAAGTAGCTGTTTGCAAACATCTTTGCAGAGAAATATTCAGTGTTCAGAAGGGTGGGAACCTCAATCAGGAGTCTTTGACTAACCGCAGGGAAATGGAGTGTGGCTTTTGCCTGACTTCAAAGGAACCAAGCCGATTATCTTCAGCAGTTCAGATTTCTTCCACAACCAGGTCACAAAGCTTCTGTAAAATGTATTGGGTCAGGCCACCATCAATTTGCCTGTGGTTAAAGCTCAGGAGTGCTGTCAAGGGCACCCATGGTGTGTGTTCTATTTCATTTCTTAGAACAAGTCAACTCCTGGTGATGGATGCAGTGACCTGACTTCTGTGTCCTTGCCAAATGTTGCCACCTTGGATCAGGAGGTCCAGCCAAGTTCCCCTGTGATTCCCACAATTGTCCAGAGCTGTGCTTAAGAATTCTGACCGGTCTACACAAAACTTTTTATCTCAAGACACAAAAAGTCATTTCCCAGCACTGGGCCTGCCTTGGCATCACGTCACAGACTTCTTCGGTCACATCAAAATTCTCAACACCACAAATAAATAAAGCTAACTGGGTGGAAAGAGTTTATGAGCAGCGAGAGAAAAGGCCACAATGGATTTGACTCTTCCAAGCAACTGGACTTGTCTATCCTCAAATTCATCTTCGAGTCACTGTGCAATGCAAATGCCTGCTAGACTTCAATAATGGTCTAAACAGTCGTCTTTCTGCTCCTTTGAAAACTCACCGTCTGCTGTAGGTTTAATGCCCAGGTGGTTCTTTTCACGTCATTCTGGAACGGCATACACAGTCGTGCCAACTTCTGTCACTCACTTTCCAAAGCAAGCCCTACTGACACTTGAGTCCCTTTTTCAGTTCATTGAGGATCGCATCTCGAGTCTGTTCTGTGTACTGGTCGTAGCTCTTACTGTGCTTTGATTCATAGTGACGCTTTAGGTTGTATTCTTTCAACACAGACACGATTTGATTGCATATTAAACACGTAGGCATGCTCTTCACTTCCACAAAGAAATAGGCTCGCTCCCATTTTTCTCGAAACACGCGGGCCTCTCCTTCTTTCTTTCGTTTTGCCACTTTTGATAGAGACATGGGTACAAGAAAGATTTCACTTTCCTCTGAACGCTACCATAGAAATAACCACAGTGCAAGCCCAGTGACAAAGGCAGTGACCCTCTGCCTCACGGGGGAGCCAAGAGGGAGTGGTGGGGACTGTGGCGAACCGGAGAGCACACGCCCCATGGAAAGGGGCAGCTCCAGCCCGTTGTTGCCAGGCAGAAGGGCGGGCCCTGGGGTGCCAAATCTTCTGACTTGTCAAGAGAAGCCAAGACTGCAGATTGTGTGTGTGTGTGTGTGTGTGTGTGTGTGTGTGTGTGTGTGTGTGTGAATTATCCCCGATTTTCACAACTAACTTGTAAGAAAAAAGTGCCACGTATGCTAACACAGGGAAGGCCAAACAAAACTCATCTGCAGAGTGGCCTATAGGCCACCAGATTGCAACCTCTCTCCTGGGATGGGCCCATGAATCTGCATGTTAACCAGCAACCAAAAGGAAATGGATGCTGGTGGTCCAGGTGGGGACCACGCTCTGAGCAACACTGGTCCAGCATCTGATAACAGATGCCTAACACTCCATGTCCAGGGAGACCGCCCTGCGCTCCAGACCTGTCTGCAGCCAGCTGTCCCCAATGTCTGAGGACATCCTTCAGGTCCCTCACCTCAGCACGTCCTGAACCTGTTCCCTGCTGGCTCTTCCATCTGGGGACAGACCATCGCCCACCCCATCCAAAGCCCCAGGTCAGTCTCTGACTAGGACTGAGGGGCTGCCCTCTCTTCTTGCGTAATCTCGTCCACTTCTGTGACTTCAATCACCAAACATACACTGCCCGCTAGACACGTCCTGAACTCCCAATGCAGCACCTGTCAACTGAATGTCCCTCGGGCCACCTGAACTCACTACTGGCTCCTTCAGGAGCCCAATCACCTGCTGTCACCAAGGCTTGGAACTGGGAGCCAACCTACCCCACCCTCACTCACCCCTACTTCACAGCCTACCAGTGCCCAGCCTCATTCTTCCCGACCTCCTGTCTTGCCTCATCACACTCCACAGCCCAGAGAAGTCTTTCTGACATCCAGATCTGGCCCAGGCCCACCCCTGCTCAAAGTCTCCCATGGATCCTGTGTCCCCAGGACAAATCTCAGGCTGCTCAGTATAGGATCTGAGCCCCTCAAGTTCTGGCACCTGCCCATCTCTCTAGCTCCTCCTTCCCTCACACTCTGGAAGCATCCATCAACCTGCTCCTCTGAACATCCCAAGCCTCCTCCTGCCTGCGAGCAGTCATTTCTGTTGCTCCCTGCACCCAGATCGCTTTCATCTCTCTCCCCCCTGGCCTCACTGATGGCTGCCTCTGTCAAGACTCTGAAGCCCAGGCTGGGTAAGAGGCCTGTTCTGGGCTCCCATGGCACCCCCTGCTGCCTCCACAAGAGCTTGTTTCCTCAGCACTACCCTCTGCCTCTGTGTCTACCCTGGACAAGGCTGCACCAGAGTGCCTGACTCACACCACAGAGGCCCCGGCGTCACCCACCTGGGGCCTCAGGGATGTCTGCTGCAGTGAGAACAAGGACAGAGATGTCTCCCCTGGGTATCCTCCTGCCCAGTCCTGGGAGATGTCAGTGACGGGAGCCGGGGCGTGTGTTAAAAAGGAACTTTATTGGGTGTTGGGGGTTCAGATGAGATCCATGAGGATGTCGTCCTCCATGACGCTGGGCTGCAGGCCCGGCTGGGGGACCGGGCCCCGGGGACCCCCGCTCAGCAGCATCTGACCTGGGGGGCAGTGGGGAAGGGACTGCATCTCCCAGTAGTCCCTGGGGTCCAGGAGGGCCCTGGGACACTCAAGTGTTCTGGGAAGCCCTGGGGGACCCATCAGAGGCACCTTCTAGCCCCAAATAGTTGCAAATATGCTGTTTCCCATGAGCCTTTGGGAGCCCTTCCCCTAAACTACTACTCTGGCCCTAAGACCACATTTCCCAGCAACCCCAGGAGGACATGCAGGAGAGGATCATGGGAAAAGTTCTCAACCCACTAAGTCCTTGGTCCCATGGGCTGCACTTCCCAGTAGCCCTCAAAGCCCCCCCAAGGACATGGTGGGGACCCCTTGTTCTTGGAGCTAGGTCTTCACTTCCTAGGAGCCCTTGGTGTTGGTGCTCTACCCCAGGGGCTTCCGGGACACTCAGGCCAAACCTCTGCCCTCCCCCGGGCCCCCTTACCTGGTAGTGGAGCCCGCTGGGGAAGCTGCGTGGGCCAGGACTGGGCAGGCGGCGGATGCAAGAGGGGGGGGCCTAGCTGGGGCTGGCCCAGGCCCTGGTGAGGTGGGGGGAGCAGCGCAGGAGCTCCTGGTGGCTGGAGGTGGTGGAGGGAAGCCTGGGGTGGGGGCACCCCAGTCTGGGGCTGGGAGAACACAGATGGCAGCTTAGAGGCTCCTGGCGGAAATGTCCCACGCCCCCACCCCATCCTATCTCTGGCACAGTCCCTGCTCAGAGAACGGACCTGCCAGGGGTGTGGGAAGGTCTTTCTTCAGAAGAATCCTGGCAGAAGCCCATGTGAGGTAGATGGAGAGGCGGCGGTCTGCCTGGAGCCCTTGCTGGGTCTCCTTTCACACCCGCTGACCAGAGCCAACTCCCCCCTCCCAGGTAACAGGGCCAGAACAGTCAGCGCCAGGAGCTCCTGTTGGCTCCACTCGCAAATCTCACCGGTGGTGGGTTGAGGAGGAGGCTCCGCAGCTGGGGGTTGGCCCCAGGGTTCTGAGGCCGAAGGATGGGTCCGGGAGGGGGCGGGCCAGGGGCTGTTCCAGGAGGGCCTTGGGGGGCACCTGGGGGGGGCTGGGCAGTACCTTGGGGCTGGGACTGTCCAGTGGCCCCAGAGGCCCCCACGGTCCCCTGAGGCTGGGACTGTGGAGGGCGGAGCTGGAGCTGGCGGGAGGAGAGGTGGAATGAGGAAGAGGGGAAGGGTCTCCCACTCCTCCCGCTGGCGATGGGCATCCCCTGGGGCCTCCCCCACTCCAGCCCGTCCTCACCAGATTCTGTGCGGGTCTTGCTTGGTCCTCCAGGATGGGGCCCAGTCCTGAGGGTGCCTGCTGTCCCCCCATCTGCATGGGGAGAGGGAGGGCACGTAAGCGACTGAGAATGGTGTCCTGAATGCATGTCAGGAGGATCTGTGCCCTGAAGGAACCACGTAAGAAGCTGGGGACATTTTATTTGGGGGTGAGTAGTCTGGGAAGGAAATGTCACACTCCCAGGTCTCTGAGAAGAAGCTCTGTGTCAGGAGTTTGGTGAAGATGCCACAAAAAGAAAGATGGCAAGAAAACTGGGGTGGGGCTTAACTCAGGCAGCCACAGCTGGGGAGAGGAGTACACATCTGTGGCACTGGAGACCTGGGAGGGTCATGGGGGGGGGGGG